TAAGGGTGCTGTTAGTGTGTGTGTATGCTGTGTGTGGGTGCTGTGTCTGTAAGGGTGCTGTATGTGTGAGAGTGCTGTTAGTGTGAGGGCGCTGTTAGTGTGTGTGTGTTTATGTGTAAGGGTGCTGTATGTGTGAGGGTGTGTGTGTGTGTGTGTGTGTGTGTGTGTAAGGGTACTGTGTGTATGAGGGTGCTGTATGTTTGTGGGTGCTGTGTGGGTGAGGGTGCTGTCTGTGTGCTGTGTGTGAGGGAGCTGTGCGTGTGTGAGGGTTCTGCTAGTGTGTGTGTGTGTGTGTGCTGGTGTAAGGGTGCTGTGTGTGAGGGTTCTATGTGTGTGTGCTGTGTTTGTGAGGATGTTGTATGTGTAAGGGTGCTGTTTGTGTGTATTTGTTTGGAGGGACTGTGGGGATGAGGGGGGATGATCTGAGCGTTGCCGCGGCCGGGTCCTCTCTTGCCTACCTCCCTGTCTGTGGGCCAGTGAGGGAAAGATCTCGCCACTGGTCCATGGAGGCACATAGCGCGGGCCGTGGGAATTAGGGTGTGCCCAGGCACACCCGGCACACCCTGTGCGCACGCCTATGTATATGTGTGTATATATATATATATATATATATAAAATTTTATTTTTTTTAATATACATTTTTTATTTATCTATCATTTAGAACTTATGTTCTACATTTTGGTTACTCACTGCTCAATTTAGGAGGCTTGTCTACCACGACAGGTGGGACTATATTTGCACAGCTGCTATATGCCGAAAGACCAGAGATCCTGTTGGCAAATAATAATTAATAGCTGCCTTGCAGTGGAATAGGGTACGATGCTAGTGCAATTTATCAGTACAACATGCGCATGACTGTGAGAAACTATGTAAAAAGTCTTTGTAAACCCAGTTCAACCTTTGCTAGACAGCACGAATAAGGTCGTACCTTGTGGCAAAGATGAGCACACGAGAGAATGACTCATTTAAAAAATATAGTACAAAAAGGCCAGTGACATGAAAATAGTAAAGTGGGTCTAGTAATGTTATAAACCACCTAATGTTAATATTGACGAGTTACAACAGCTGTTTGAGCAAATTGAGAAAGCTGCAAATCTGGGTACCACTTTAATTTTTAGAGATTTTAATTACCCGGACATAAATTGGGACAGAGGGACTAGTAGCTCAGCAAAGGGAATTAGGTTTTTGAACTTGTTAAATGACACCTTCATGTCACAACTGTCAGGATTACAGTATGATCCAGTACATAGAATTGTGTAACACAGAGGACTAATAGGTAACATATACCGGACCTTAGAATGGCCGGACTAACATACCAAAGAATAGTCAGGAATAGCCGAGGTTAAGGGACACAGAAAGAGACACAACGATAAGGAAAAGCCAGGGGTCAGGGATGCCAGAAAACAGGGAAGTCAAAAACAATGCCAAAGTCAAAATACCAGAATAACCAGAATCAATAACGCACTCTCGGACAACCACAAGGGAAACAGCAACAGGGCACTGAGCAGGATGAGAACTGGGCCTAAATAAATACCCCTCCTCTGGATCTGATAGGCTGTAATCGGCTTTTGACCCCAATGGCAGTTACCAGGTTCCCATTTGCATAATTGCTGCTCAGCACAAACCTTCCTGTGGATTTGATTGCTGCTCGGCACAACTTTTCCTGTCAGGTCAGTAATGTTGCTCGGCACAACTTTTCCTGTCAGAACAGTAAATGTCATTAATCACATTTTTATATGTGGGTGAATACGTGACAACAACATGTACAAGCACCAACTAGAAAGGACGCTTGTGTGGACCAAACAACGTTGATCTTTTGACCAACAATATAGTGTCCTTTGAAATAAACTCAAAAAAACAAAAGCACATGGGGTATACTAAAACATATAATTTAAAAAAAGCCAATTTCAATAAGTTAAGGACAGCTTTATAATATATTGACTGGAATAAACTCTTTAGTGAAAAGAACACTGAGGATAAATTGAACATCTTCCAACACATATTAGAAAGGTACATTTCTCAGTATGTACCATTGGGTAATAAATATAAATGAAACAAATTGAAACCAATGTGGCTTAGTAGAGAAGTAAAACAAGAGATTAAAAATAAGAAGAGGGCATTTAAAGCGTTAAGATTGGATAAATCAGATGCATCCTATAAAAGATATAAGGAAGCCAATAAGAGCGCAAAACCAACCCTAAAGCATTTTTTAAGTAGATTAAAAAAAAACAAAGAATGAAAGTGTACACTAAAAATTGGAATGGGGGTGTTCGTTAATGAAAACCAGGAAAAGGCAGAAATTATAAATAACTATTTCTCCTCCGTATATATTAAGGAAGAACCCATGGCAATAGATGTGCAAATGATTGCTGCTGAAAACTTGCAGAAAAATTGTAATTTGTTAACTCAAGACAAGGTGCTGCAGCAACTAAAGAAAGTTAATATACACAAAGCTCCAGGGCCTGACATTATTCATCCATGAGTACTTAAGGAACTAAGTGTAGAAATAAGTGAACCTCTGTTTTTACTCTTTCAAGATTCTTTTCTTTTCAGGAATTTCCTTGCCTGGAAATTATAGACCTGTGAACTTAACGTCTGTGGCTGGAAAAGTATTTGAAAGGTTATTAAGGGATAATATTCAAGAATACCTTGAGAAAAACATGGTTATCAGCAAAAATCAGCATGGTTTTATGAAGCACAGGTCATGTCAAACTAACTTGACTGTATTCTATGAAGAAGTAAGTAGAAGTATACATCAGGGTGTTGCAGTTGATGTGATCTATTTGGATTTTGCCAAGGTATTTGATACAGTTCCACACAATAGATTAGTGTTCAAATTTAAAGAAATAAGTCTAGATGAAAATTCTTGTTTTGGGGTAGAACATTGGCTTAAAAACAGAGTACAAAGAGTTGTCATTAATGGTACATTATCAAACTGGACAGAGGTGGCAAGTGGTGACCCTCAGGGTTCTGTTCTGGGACCCCTTCTATTTAACATGTTTATAAATGATCTTGAAAAAAGCATTGAAAGTCATGTTTCAGTGTTTGCAGATGACACAAAACTCTGTAAAGTAGTACAATGTGAGCAAGATATTACTTTGCTGCAGAGGGATTTAGATTGACTGGGGGACTGGGCACTCAAATGGTAGATGAAATTTAATGTTGAAAAATGCAAATTTATGCACTTCAGCATGAAGGATACACAACAAGCAATGTATCCCCTTAATGGAAGCAAATTAGGGATAACAACACACAAAAAGGACTTTGGAATTATCGACAACCATCTATGCAATGTAAATCAGCAGTGGCTAAGGCCAGTAAGGTATTGCAATGCATGAAAAGGGGCATTCATTCTCAGGATGAGAATATAATTTTGCCTTTTTTATAAATCGCTGGTTAGACCACATCTTGAATATGCTGTTCAATTTTGGGCACCTGTTCTAAAGAAGAATGTTATGGCACTAGAAAAAGTGCAGAGCTGGGCTACAAAATTAATAAAAGGAATGGGATATATCAACTATGAAGAAAGGTTAACAAATTTAAACCTCTTTTAGTTTAGAAAAACCTCGCCTGAGAGGGGATATGATAATATTATACAAATATATCTGGGGCCAATACAAACCATTGTGTGGAAATCTATTCACAAACCGGACTTTACATAGGACACAAGGTCGAGCGTTTAGACTGGAAGAAAGAAGATTTTGTCTAAGGCAAAGAAAAGTTTTTGTTTTTTTACTGTAAGAACAGTAAGGATGTGGAATTCTCTGCCTGAAGAAGTGGTTTTATCAGCGTCCATACAGATGTTCAAACAGCAACTAGATGCATACTTGCAAAAACAGAATATTCGAGGCTATAATTTTTCAATGTAGGGTAATAGCATCTTGATTCAATGATAAATCTGACTGCCATTCTGGGGTCAAGAAGGATTTTTTTTCCTAGTTTGCTGCAAAATTGGAAGTGCTTCAAACTGGGTTTTTTTTGCCTTCTTTTGGATCAACAGCAAAAAAGAAATGTGAGGAAGGCTGAACTTGATGGACACAAGTCTCTTTTCAGCTATATAACAAGAAAAAGGCAGAGGTAATGATGTTTGTAGGGAAAGATGTGGGATTTGAAGATTTGATTTGATTGAGCATCTGTGGGATGCCTTGGCATGAGAAATTTGCAGGCAATGCAGCACCTTGAACTCTTTGTCATGTTCCTCAAACCATTCCTGAACTAGTTTTCCAGTGTAGCAGGGTACATTTTCCTTCTGGAAGAGGCCATGACAAATGGGGAACACCATGAAGGGATGTACGTAGTCTGCAACAATATCTAGGTTGGGGTATGTGTCAAAGTAACATCCACATGAATGCCAGAACCCAAGGTTTCCCAGCACATTGCCCAGAACATAACACTGCCGTTGCCAGCCTGCCTTCTTCTCATAGTGCATCCTGCACCCATCTCTGCTACCAGGCAACCTTTTCCCATTGCTCCATGATTCAGTTCTGACACTCATGTCCACATTGAAGGTGATTTCGGTGGTGGGCAGAGATCAACAAGGCACTCTGACCGGTCTGTGGCTAAGCAGCCACAAATGCAGCAAACTGTGATGTACTGTGTGTTTTGTCACCTTTCTATCATGGCCAACATTACATTTTTTAGCAAATTGAGCTACAGTAACTCTTCTGTGGGATCATCCCAGAAAGGTTAACATCAATGAGACTTCAGAAAAACAAGTTACCTGCGCTCTCTCCTTAATCCCTATGTATTTTTAAACAAATGGAGGTTTTTTAGTTACCTCCAATGGCCATGAGAGGATGAGCCCACCTGCCAACGTCAAGACAGTCCCCCCTAGGGGGTCCTAACGCTAACCATTCACCTTGCTTCCTTGAGCCTCAGGCAAAAATCTCTAATGAGACAGAAAGGGGTATTTTTTCTATACACCCCTGTATATAATTAACCCTTAATAGGGAACACATGCGGCTGCATTGAAACAAGGCTGAGTGATACAAAAAATGGATACAAATGCAGAAAGATAAGTCCTGCGCTCACTCATACCCTTTTCTGTCTCATTAGAGATTTTTGCCAGAAAGGGGTATGAGTGAGCGCAGGACTTATCTTAAACATATGACCTCATACCTCCAAACGCATATCACGCAGACCACCACCTCAATACTAGGACATCTCACTATTTACATACCTATAGCACATTCAGAGAAACTAACACATAAGAGTCAAATATGCTGTCAACCTCACATATAGCACATGTGTATTGTTACTTTCCGAAATGCTATTATTTCATACTCTGTCTGTTTATATAGCTTGGTGCTATTTCTAAGTGCTGTTTCTAAGTGTGTAGTTGGAGATATTCTGGAGAGTTTTACAGAAGCTTCAACTGTCTAAGAGTTGTGCTAAGAGCTTTCTTTTCTACTGTTACAGGTAAGATTCATCTGTAGGAAAAGGTTACTGATTGCACAAGGTTTGAATTCCTGTTGGTAAGATTCATCTGTTGGAAAAGGTTACTGATTGCACAAGGTTTGAATTCCTGTTGGTAATTATAAGGCATTTGATTTGATTAAGCTAGTTACTTGCTATTGATTGCTGGTTAATTAGCTATTGTTTGCAAATAAGCAGAGGCCTACCCAGGTGTTAAACACTCCTAGTGGGTGGTGATTTTAGGAGTTATATACGGCTTGTTGTCATTAGCTTGGCTAATATAGCTTGGTGCTACTTCTAAGTGCTGTTTCTAAGTGTGTAGTTGGAGATATTCTGGAGAGTGCTGTTTCTAAGTGTGTAGTTGGAGATATTCTGGAGAGTGCTGTTTCTAAATGTGTAGTTGGAGATATTCTGGAGAGTGCTGTTTCTAAGTGTGTAGTTGGAGATATTCTGGAGATAAACTGGAGGTAATCTGAGGTATTCAGGAGGATAAATACAAAGTTAAGATTTGTTTGATTTAAATTATTCTCCTAATTGGAATGGCAGACTTAGTTCAGTGTAATAATTGCTATGCATTTGTTTCACGTTCCACTTTTTGGTTGTTTGGTTGTTGTCTAATCTGTAGACAGTTCTCTATCTTGCGGCAGGAGATTGTATTTTTGAAGTCTGAGATTTGTAAATTATCTGGTGAACAAACTCAGACTGGAACTGCTACAAAGCCACTGCCGCAGAGACATACTAGGAATGGCAGATGGATTACTGTGGGATCTGGTAGACTTAGAGTTGTGGATAAAAGGCATTTTGCACAGTCTGTTGCTCTACATAATTCATTTCTGCACTTTCAGAGTGTAATGGTGTTGTGGAGAGAGGCACTGAGGCTAGTGGTGTTGTGGAGAGAGGCACTGAGGCTAGTGGTGTTGTGGAGAGAGGCACTGAGGCTAGTGGTGTTGTGGAGACCGGCTTGGAGACTATGGTGAGGCCTAATAGAAAGCAGTTGTTGTTGTGGGATTCCATTATAAGAGGTGTGGAGATGGACAATGGTGGTCTTGTGAGGTGTCTTCTCGGAGCTACTGCTCACAGAGACAGGAGACGTATCTGTAATATTGTTAAGCAAGCAAAGCAGGAAGGGGAATTGGATGTACTTGTCCATCTAGGGACAAATGACTTGGCTTGCAATGAGGTTTCAGAGGTTAAGGAAGTTTTAGTGTTTTTGCCAATGATATACGGCAGGTTGCTTCCACACTGTCATTCTCTGAAGTTCTGCCTGTGCATGACACTCAGAACGACAGGCGGATGCGTATTAGGGACTTTAATTTGTGGCTTGGTGAATGGTGTCGGGAGCAAGGATTTGGCTTTATTTCTCATGGTAGCTCTGTTTGGAATGGAGATAAGCTGTACAAAAAGATGGTTTGCATCTTTCTCAAAAGGGAACAAATGTTCTCAGTGAGCAGTTCAGAGGTTTTGCTAGGATGTATTTAAACTAGGAGGGGGGGGCAAAAGGGTGATAAAACATCAATCCAATTGTCCCCAAAAACAAGGACAGAAGGTGCCTGTAGCAAGTGTGTTAAAAAATGATAAGCTTAGAGTCATGTCTACAAATGCTTGCAGTTTAGGGAATAAGATCCATGAACTTGTGGCAATAATGGCAACTGATAGTATAGATTTAGTCGCTGTTACTGAGACATGGTATAATGAGAAAAATGACTGGGACATAGCAATACCAGGGTACTCTTTATATAGAAAAGACAGGGAAGGCAAGAAAGGGGAGGGGTGGCCCTGTATGTGAAGGATAGCATAAAATCTAGCCTAATAAAAGTTAGTGAGGCAAACATAGAGTCCGTTTGGGTTACGTTAGAATTTGGTAATCACACAGGAACTCGTGTAGGTGTGATTTATAGGCCCCCAGGACAAATTGAAGAGTTAGATAATCTACTAGTTGAGGAAATAGCTAAAATGACAATGAAGGGGAAGTTATCATCATGGGTGACTTTAATCTTCCTGATGTAAATTGGAAAACAAAATTAGCTACTTGTACCAGGAGCACACATATTCTAAACTCCCTACTGGGATTGTCTCTAAAACAAGTCGTTGAGGAGCCAACTCGTAAAGAGGCCATACTAGATTTAGTGTTAACAAATGGAGATTTGGTATCAGATATTACTGTAGGTGAAAGTTTAGGATCCAGTGATCATCAGTCAGTGTGGTTTAATATAAGAACAGTGACTGAGTCACACCACACAAAAACAAAAGTTTTAGACTTTAGGAAAACAGACTTTTCTAAAATTAGAATATGGGTAGAGGAGTCATTATCAGACTGGAGCAATTTAAATGGAGTCCAAGAGAAATGGGATTATTTAAAAGTTGCACTACTGAAGGCAACAGAAAATTGCATTAGGCTTGTCAGTAAAAGCCAAAAATTCAAGAAACCACTGTGGTACTCTGCAGATGTGGCCAAAATAGTTAAAAACAAAAAGTTAGCATTTAGTAATTATAAAAAAAAACAGAGTGAGGAAGACAAAATGATCTATAAGATTAGGCAGAAAGAGGCTAAGCAAGTTATAAGAGCTTCCAAATCACACACAGAAGAGAAAATAGCACAGTCAGTAAAAAATGGGGATAAAACATTTTTTAGATACATAAATGAGAAAAGAAAAGTAAAACAAGGATTAGTTAGATTAAAACAAAAGAAGGAAGGTATGTAGAAGAGGATAAAGGTCAGGCTGACTGCCTCAATGAATATTTTTGTTCTGTATTTACAGAAGAAAATGAAGGAAAGGGACCTCAGTTGAGAAAAAAGATAAATGAGTCATTTATTACACGTGAGTTTACAGAGGAAGAGGTTCTATTTCAACTGTCAAAAGTAAAGACCAATAAGTCAATGGGACCTGATGGAATACACCCAAAGCTATTAAAAGAGCTTAGTGGTGTACTAGCAAAACCATTAACAGATTTATGTAACCAATCATTGTTAACAGGAGTAGTCCCAGAAGATTGGAAGTTAGCGAATATTGTGCCCATTTACAAGAAAGGTAATAGGGAGGAGTCGGGCAACTATAGGCCAGTAAGCCTTATTTCAGTAGTGGGGAAAGTGATGGAAACCATGTTAAAGGATAGGATTGTTGAACATCTAAAACACATGGATTTCAAGATCAGAGACAACATGGGTTTACTTCAGGGAGATCATGCCAAACTAATCTTATTGATTTTTTTGATTGGGTAACTAGAATAATAGATCAGGGTGGTGCAGTAGACATTGCTTACCTAGATTTCAGTAAGGCTTTTGACACTGTTGCACATAGAAGGCTTATCAATAAGCTGCAATCTTTAAGTTTGATTTGAAGTTGGACTTGCCACCAGTGGGGTACCTTAGGGATCTGTACTTGGACCCATTCTCTTTAATATTTTTATTAGTGATATTGCAGAAGGTCTTGATGGTAAGGTATGTCTTTTTGCTGATGATACTAAGATATGTAACAGGGTTGATGTTTCAGGAGGGATAAGCCAAATGACAAATGATTTAGGTAAACTAGAAACATGGTCAGAATTATGGCAACTGACATTTAATGTGGATAAGTGCAAGATAATGCATCTTGGACGTAAAAACCCAAGGGCAGAGTACAGAATATTTGATAGAGTCCTAACCTCAACATATGAGGAAAGGGATTTAGGGGTGATTATTTCTGATGACTTAAAGATAGGCAGATAATGTAATAGAGCAGCAGGAAATGCTAGCAGAATGCTTGGTTGTATAGGGAGAGGTATTAGCAGTAGAAAGAGGGAAGTGCTCATGCCATTGTACAGAACACTGGTGAGACCTCACTTGGAGTATTGTACACAGTACTGGAGACCGTATCTTCAGAAGGATATTGATACCTTAGAGAGGGTTCAGAGAAGGGCTACTAAACTGGTTCATGGATTGCGGGATAAAACTTACCAGGAAAGGTTAAAGGATCTTAACATGTATAGCTTGGAGGAAAGACGAGACAGGGGGGATATGATAGAAACATTTAAATATATTAAGGGAATCAACACAGTAAAGGAGGAGACTATATTTAAAAGAAGAAAAACTACCACAACAAGAGGACATAGTCTTACATTAGAGGGACAAAGGTTTAAAAATAATATCACAAAGTATTACTTTACTGAGAGGGTAGTGGATGCATGGAATAGCCTTCCAGCTGAAGTGGTAGAGGTTAACACAGTAAAAGGAGTTTAAGCATGCGTGGGATAGGCATAAGGCTATCCTAACTATAAGATAAGACTAGGGACTAATGAAAGTATTTAGAAAATTGGGCAGACTAGATGGGCCGAATGGTTCTTATCTGCCGTCACATTCTATGTTTCTATGTTTCTATCTAGAACTCCATCCACTGATTATAAGGTTATCTTGTCAATCACTATTTTTGCTATATGTTTATGGTGAGGGAAGAAATGTATCCCCATCATGGGTGTTTAAGAGCAGCTATTCACTACGTTTATCTTGAAGCGCTATCATTGTTCACACTGAGCTAACTAGTGAGTTACTTTTGTTACCAAGAAGATTTAACCAATTGCTTCCCCATGGTGCACAAGGGGTTAAAAAAAAACAAAAAAAACTTCTGTCACCTACGGCCGTCAGGGGAGACCTAATGTGCATGTGCAGCGATTAGGATTTTACCATAGGAAAGTATTAGACATTTAATTTAACCA